CAGCAATGACAGATAGCAGCAATACGATATATATAGAGCTAGAAAATATCATATAGTGATGAAAAAGAATATTCTAAATTAGAGGAAATAAGCGATGAGAATATGCTTCGAAGTGATAAGTTCACAGAAAATCCTAAATTAGCTACCTCTTCAAAGACGAGAGAATAAACGAAAAAATTTTGAAATTCAGATGGGTTCCTTTTCGATTACAAAAAACCAACATATCAGGGTTCAGAAGGGTTTCCCAAAAATACCCATCTCTTCCTTTTTGATTACATTCTCGAAAAAATCAAGAAGCACCATTTACGCTACAAAGTCGATTCAATCAAAAAAGATTACGAAACGTTGGCGGGAAAAATTATGAAGAGTGCAAGGAGGTATTGAAAAAAGTACGTTTCCAAATGCTTGTGGAAAAGAGTAAATATTGATTTTAGCGAAGATTCGTTTAATGGCACGAAAGAAACGAAGAGTATGGGAAGAGAGGCTGACTTCTGTTGCGCCTCTGGATTAGATACTTCTCAGAGCATAATAAAGTAGAAGTCAACAATAACAAAGTAAAAAACGTTGTAGAATTGAATGAAAGCGAAAATCAAAAGACTTTGAAAACAAAGAAACAGCTCGGTAGGATAATAAGCATCAGCTGACCAAGAACGGAACATCAAAAAGATAGAGGCTCTTATACCTAGGTATAATCATGAGAGCTCAGGGGAACAATGAACCAAACCATCAAATCCGATTAGATAAGAAAGATAGAAAGGAGGGGAAGGGGGCAATGAGAAAATGAGATTTGGTGTATAAATATAGATTTTGATTTTTCTCCTCTTCACAAAAGTTTAGTACCGAGAATTTTTCATACACAAACCAAAATCTATAGTAATTTGTTGTCTCTGCCCACATAGATGCCAAAATAATCTTTCCATTTTTATTCATTCTTATTGTTACCACCTATGATTTCCTTATGAATTGGATGAAACACACTTCCCCTCAAACCTCACGAAGCAACTTTTTTTTAATACTGGCATTAATCATAGGCTTCATAATTATTTGCACAGTTTCTAGAACCTTGGCCTCGGTGACTTCCAATAAATTATCGTATCTCCTCGCCCCTAGTGTAGCAATGAGCATCTGGTCCTCTCAGACAAAAAGACTGCGAAATAATCGAAGGCTCTCTCACAAG